CGGTGATGAAATGCTGAGGGAAGCACCGTCCTAACCCATCTATGATCTCTACAAACAGCAAGGCAGGTTCTAGTGCTTAATCGGTAAGATGCCCAGTTAGTGTGCTCTACTCCCCATCTGGGGGCAGTGGAAGCTGATTTTCCATTCAGAGAGTTTACATCAAGACTGCAGTATTAGCTGGCTACGGTGACACACACCTATAATCCCAGCACTTAGGAGGCTGAGGCAGGAGGATCATTGCAAGTTCAAGACCAACCTGAGCTACAAAGTGAGCCCAAGGCCAGCCTGAACTGCTTTGTTTTTTTGTCTCAAAAAGACAAAAGAAAAAAAAAAAAGACCTCAGTACTTCAGCCTAATAGATTTAAATAAACCATCAGGCCAGAGACTCAGTCAGTGGCTCAGCAAGCAAAGTGCTTACCTAGCAAGCAATGGCCCTGGGTCCCTCACTGGCACCTCAAAAATACCCAAACTAAGGGGTGGGGATTTAGCTCAGTGGCTTAAGTGCTTGCCTTGTAAGAGCACAGTCATGAGTTCAATCCCTGGTATCAAAACAAAAAACACAGTTGCCAGTTTGATTCCCAGTACCAAAAAAAAAAAAAAAATACCCAAACCAACCCCCAAAAAAGTATGGGGGTCTGGGGATTTAGCTCAGCGGCATAAGCACCTGCCTTGTGAGCAGGCGGTCGTGAGTTCAATCCCCGGTACTAGAAAAAAAAAAATTAAAAAGTATGAAAAAGCAACACTCCTCAAATTCTGTTGTTTTTCTGTGAATTTGAAAGAATTTGTCGGTGTAGTCAGGGTACCAATTTGGTTAGTGCAATACCTCACAGGAAAACAGTACAAGGGTACTAGAGGGAGGAGGAAAGTTAGGCAACCTGACTGCTCTCTGAACACGCAGAACAAGAAAGCTCAGCTCGGCCTTCAGTGCTCTCTAAGGGCTTGCAGGGGTGAAGGGGCAGGGCAGGGTGCAGAGGGGCCAGCAAAAGAGCAGGGTGGCCAGGGTGCTGATGAATGGGAACGGCAGGCCACATGGGGCACCCATCCGAGGGGAGCTTGTGAAGGCTGCAGGCGTTCCCGCCACCCATGAGGCTGAGTCAGGCCGCCACACCGGGAGGAGGAACAAGGTGGGATGACACCGGGGCTGCTCTCTGCACAGTATTTGCAGTGCTTAGGTCTCACCCTCAAGTCAGACTAGTGCCTTCATTCACATCTGCTGACTTTGAATCAGTCATTACAGTGTCCTGGTGTCATCATACAATTACAGTGGAATTCATTCTGAGTCACCAGAATTACACAAGTAACCATCTCAGTAGTGATAGAATCAAAATTATTGAGTCACGCTGAACAGCTTCCTGGCACTGAGTTATGGGCCGCGCAGCTCTTCCGAGTGAGCAGTGTCCTTCCCTGTTCCCAAGAGGCTAACACGAAACCTACCGCAACCTTGCAGGACTGCAGTCGTAGGCCAAGGGAATGCCTTCCCCTGTGGCCATTGTGGGGGAAGCAAAGCTTCATCACCATCAGCATCTTCTCTATCTGAGCTCCTGGACCATGGTCTGACCACGTCCACTCTCGGGACCAGAAGGGGGGTTACACTTCCATGAGGCCCTTGCTCAGGGTAAAAGGTTAAATTGAGGGGGAAGAATCACCTTCATCTTTGTACCTTCAGCCTGGAGGAAGAAGGTACAGTGGGATTTTGTTTTCTCCTTGAAACAGGGTCTCACTATGTAGTTTCAGGCTGGCCTCCAACTTGTTAGCAATCCTCCTGCCTCAGCCTCCCAAGTGCTAGGATTACAGCTCTACACCACCACACCCACCTCAGCACAGCTTCTTAAGGAGAGCTTATTCATAATCATGTCTAGATCAAGATTTCTTTTTTTTCTGTACTGGGAATCAAATTTAGGACCTGCACTTGCCAGGCAGGTGCTTGTGCCACTGAGCTAAATGCCCAGCCCAAGACAGTTTTCAATAAATGGTTCAGCAGAGTATGGCTAAAGAGAAAAGAGAATTATTTAGCTACAAAAATAATGTTTCCCTAGGCTCGAGGAGTTTCAGATGGTTATTTAATAAAAGCACAGAAGAAACAGAACAGGAGATGGTCCTGACGGGAAGGAAGACTTGAAATTTGTTCCACAATCCAGACCTCACTAAGCAAAGCAGCAGAGGGCTTGCACACGTGTACGTGTGCATATGTGTGTGCCTGTGTGTGCAGAAAATAATGGCTGCTGCTGGCCCTGGCTAGCCAGGCTCTGTCCCGCAGCTCACCCAGTGCTGTGATGAGGCCTGTGTCAACCAGAGACACGTGACAACCAGGCCTCACCTACACAGCGGCTCAGCGCAAACTATGGAAGCCCTGGCCCCTCTGGGCAGAAGCGCCCTGTCCTGAAGACCACGTGCTCCCTGCTCAAGCACGCAGGGCTCAGTGTGTTCTGTCGCCTCTCTCTGTGGTCCGGGATGGTGACACTGAGGACCAGCTTGCATCTGCAGGGCACATACCTGGGAGTCCCAGCTACCCAGGCACAGGGTAAGACAGGGAGCTGAGGTGCCCAGAAGGCACTGCTGTGGGACTGAGGGACGAACTCAGATATCGCCTTATCCTCTGCTCATGGGCTCAGGTGAGCGGGTATCACAGCAGCCTGCGAGACCGATGTCTGTCTGTCTCCCAGGAACCACACTTCCCTGTCATCTCTAGCTCCATGACAGCCTTCAATGCACTGTGCTCAATAACTGTTAAGCATCAATTCCCAATTTCACAGGCCGAAAGGAAAGGCAGTCACTCTGGATGAAATACGACACCTCTAGAAGGTGCAGGCCTTACTTAGACCCAGTATGATTCATATTTTCTCCTCCTGTTCACATCCACTCTTTTCTGGAGGGACCACGAAAATCCAGGACCAAAGAACAGAGAAGTTATGACACATGGAGGTGTTAATGAAATCCCCCTACACCTCTGCCACCAGACACACTCACCCAGTGATTTTTGGTGTTGGTCCTGGGAGTTGAACCCAGGCCTTAAGCATGCTGAACGAATACTCTGCCCCTGAACTAGCCCCCAGTGATTCTTTTAATCCCTTTAACCTTGAAACACCTTGCACCCTCTTAAATTCATGGCCCGAGGCATGTGTATGTGTATGTGTGTGTGTGTGCCTGTGTGTGCAGGAAATAACGGCTGCTGCTGGCCCTGGCTAGCCAGGCTCTGTCCCGCAGCTCACCCAGTGCTGTTATGAGGCCTGTGTCAACCAGAGACACGTGACAACCACGCCTCACCTACACAGCGGGTCAGCTGTGTAGCTACCCCAATACAGGGCCCACAGAATTCACTCAAGTCTCACCAAGTACAACAGAAAACTGGCAAAAAAGTTTGTTCTTTCCCTAAATCATAAGGACACATATTTTCAAATGTACCCAGAGAAATTAAAAATTAATAGATCTGCTATATCTGAAAGGGCTGGCAAAAAAAGAGGATCACATAGAGTCAGAAATGTCCCAGTTACATTGTGACAGTACACAATTTCAACAACTCCTTTTAGACAAGCCTCCAAAGATAAATCCCTTCTAGTGAAGTGTTGGACACTCTTACCATTAGTGTGTGCGTATGTGTGGGAGACCCTAAGATGGGCACAAACTTTTCCAGTTTTTGAAAAGCACATAGCCAGGCATGGTAGCTCATGCCTGTAATACCAGCACTCTGGAGGCTGAGGCAGATCGTTGTGAGTACAAGACCAGCCTAAGCTTCAAAGTGAGCTCAAGGCCAGACTGAACTGCATAGAGAGACCCTGGCTCAAAAAGACAAAAAAAAAAAAGAAAAGCACATAGACATTTATCCTGTTCACTAATCTAGTGCTATATTTCTTCCTTATTGCTTAGCCACCCTTCCTGCAGCACCTGCTCCGCAATGAAGCCAGAATCTTAAACAATTCTTAGAGTTCTTGCCCCAGGTACAAAGGCAAAACTTACACAGAGACTGGGGCGACAGTGAGCTAGGCTGACTCATCGCTTACTTCTACCAAAAACTAACTGGTATAATATGGGAAAAGGAGCACCGTGGTCAAATATGTTTAGGTAACACTCCGTTAGATAAAATTAAACGTCTCATTTCCATTGCAGGACTTCACTAGGCCTTTCCACCATGCAACGGTACCATCCTTCGCAGGAAAGGATGATACGTGATGGTAGTTTGTTGTTGTCATCGTCATTGCTGTGAGGGGCTTTTATTGCTGAGGACTGAACCCAAGGCCTCGTACCCACTCAGCCCGCCACGCCACCAGCCAAGGTTTAAATTCCACATATGGTATTACCGCTGGCCTTCACGTGAAGCACTGCTTTGAGGGATGCCCTGTGAGAACCTCACACTAGGAGTTAAGTGCTAACAGAACCTCCGTCACAGGTGCCAATGTGCAGGTTCCCCCATCACTCCCGCTCTGTCTGGACATGGGCTGAAGCTCGGCCCCCAACACTGCTGGGCTGAGGTGGTGCGGTCCCTTCCAGGTGGGGCCCAGAGATAGGCCCTGGTCGGCTGAGGGTGCTGCCCTGAAGTGGTTTCCGTAAATAAACATTGCTAGAAAAGCTTGAGGCTGACCTGAGTCACCTTCTCTGCTCCTCTATCACCAAGTGATCCTGCCACCCTGAGGTCCTCCCCAGACTAGAGCAGATGCAGGTGCCGGGCCTGGAATCTCTAGAGCTGTGAGCTGGTCCCTTAGGCGTTCTGTTGTAGTGATGACAAGCTGCCCTAGCACCACCTCCCCCTTATTAAAACCACCGAATGCACCTTAGGAACCCAGGCAATCATATTCAAATGCACTTAGGAAGAGAAGCCACACACAGTGACCCAGTGCCTTTACCACAAAAGCCAGTCAAAATTCAGGCACCTACTATTCTGCATGAGGACAGAATCAAATGACTCAAGCCTGCAGTGGGCACTTACCTCTGCACATTACAATTTCAAATGGTAAAACCCACCTAATTTCAGTATTTTAACAATCACAATGAAAAGGAAGACTTACCGACAGAAGCGGAATTTTTAAGCATCGAGTCCTTTGGGGCACCTTTTTCAATTCGGAGTGTGGCCCACTGTTCAAAGAAACAGGTATTAGTTTAAACTTCCAAAGACACAGGGAAATACTTAAACCATGCTTATGCACAAGTGAAATTAAACATTAAATCCTGGCACTTCCTGCTCTAACGAACCACCCCAGTTGATCTGGTATTGTGGCATTATAAGTCCTGGGTATACACATTCCTTTAGTCACTCAGGAAGCCCCCATAAATACAGAGCAATCTTGACCCTATCTAAATCCCCTCGCATCCATCTATTACTCCCTGAAGGTCGTGAGGCACAGTGGGCCAAACAGGTGATAGTGTCCGGAAGACCTGGGCACAAGGGCTGGAAGTGCAGCTCGGTGTGCAGCTCTGGCCTGCCAAGGACCAGAGTTTGATCCCCAGCACTGTTAAAGAGGCATCAGTTTCCTCATCCTAACAGGAGGATAAACATTCCCATCCCACAGGGTAGCTGACGCAATTAAACAACATGCAAAGAGCTAAAACAGGGCACAGAGCAAACTAGCTATTTCACAGGAAACTGGGCATTTGGGTGTGCGACACACTCAAATAGACATGAGACAAAAGCTTGCAGAGGCACAGGGATGCAGCCAGGTGGTAAAGTGCCTGTCTGGCATACAGGAGGCCCTGGCTTCCATCCTCAGCCTGCAAAGGAACCAAAGAATCGGTTGCTAAAGAAAACTGTGCATCCCCCTGCTTGCTTATCTACTAAGATGCCTAGGGAAGATGGCATGATGCCTATGAGGATCCAGAGTTGAAAGAATTTAAAAACTGGAAAAAGAAAAAGATTCAGAGTTTTTGGGCTGGAGATATAGCTCAGTGGCACAGCGTCTGCCTGGCAAGTGTGAGGTCCCAAGTTCAATTCCTAGAACCCACAAAAAAATAAGACAAAATAAAGTAAAAAATAAAATTAAAAGGAAAACTGGAGAAACAACTCTCACTTTACTTTTTTCTTGCCATTCTTTTCTTTTTTGCATGTGTTTTATTTTATTGGTCCATTTTACATATATATATTAATTTGTAGCTATGCAAGACATAGCTTGCTTATTTTTTCCAATTCCCCTCCCCACCCTTCAATCCCTCTTCCTCTGCTTATTTACAAATGATTTGTTTCCATTTTTTTGTTCTTTTTTCTTCCATTTTTTCCTTCTTTCCTATCCCCCTCCTTCCCCTTTTGTTTTCATTTGAACATTTTCTTCTCATTTCTCAATGCCCATTACACATTTGGGTCCTTATTTACTCTTGGTTTCTCACAGCAGAGAAACAATGGGATAGTTCAACATGTGTATCTGATTTACTTCACTCAAGAGCACGGTCTCAAGGTGCATTTATTCAGTGGAAATATCACAAGTTTATCCTTCTTTATGGAAGAGTAGTTTTCCATTGTATAAAAAAAACATATCTTCTTTAACCACTCATTGATTGATAGGCATTTGGGCATTGTCAAGATTTAGCTATTACAAACTGTGCCACAATAAACATGGACATACATTTATTGCTATGTTATGATGTTTTTAATCTTTTTGAGAAAATACCAAGAAGGGGAATAGCTGGGTGGAATGGGACCTCCTTTGTTTGTTAGTTTGTTTGTTTTTGGTACTGGGGATCAAACTCATGACCTTGTGCTTACCAGGCAAGTGCTTGAGCTGCTGAGCTAAATCCCCAGCCCCTATCCTATTTTTTGAGGAATCTCCACCCTGATTTTCAGTGAGCATTCCCACCAACAGTGGAAAAGTATTCTTTTTTCCTCACAGCCCCTCCAGCATTTGTTTGATTTCTTGATAACAGCCATTCTTTCTGGGGTGAGATGGAATCTTAGTGTTGTTTTAATTTGCACCTCTCAAATGACCAGTGATGCTGAACATTATTTCATATATTTATTCACCATTTCTATCCCTTTTCATCTCGGTTGTTCATTTTTGGATTGGGTCTTTAAATGTGAGGCATCTGATTTTTTTATTTGAGTTTTTTTATATATTTTAGATAACAGTCCTTTGAGGAACCCCTGGCAAAAAAAAATTTTCTCACACTCTGGATTGTTCTTTCATTCTGTTGGTGATTTCTCTGGCTGTGCAAAAGCTTTTTAATAAGATGACAGCCTGGTTGATTCTTTGTGATAATTATGTGTAATCCAGGTTTTGTTCAAGAAGTCTTTGTCTACACTAACATTTTGAAGAGATCTACCTATTCTATCTTCTAGCAAATTTAGGGTTTCCATTTTAATATGTAGAACTTTTGATCTATTTTGGTCCATTTTGATTTTAGTGTAGTGCATGGTGAAAGACATGGGTCTAGTTTTAATTTTCAGAATGTGAAAAGCTAATTTTCCCAGCACCATTTGTTAAAGAAGTGACTTTTCTTCCAGTGAAGGTGTTTGATTCCTTTGTCAAGTATGCTTGGAGTTGTTTCTCTATTTTCTGTTCTGTTCCATTGATCCTTGGCTCTCTTTTTGTACTGGTACCATGCTATTTATGTCACAGTACCTTTGTAATATAATTTCAACTTACTACTGGGATTGTGATGCCTCCAGCCTCACCTGTGTCGCCCAGAATTGCTTTTACTATTCTAGATCTCTTCTGGTTCCAAATAAATTTTAGGACTGTGTTTTTTCTAATTCTGTGAGATATGCTGTTAGTATTTTGATTGAGATTGCATTAAATCTGTATAATGATTTTGGAAGTGTGGCCATTTTCACTATATTGGTTCTTCCTAAGAATAAGGGATATCTTTCCATTTTCTGATATCCTCTACAATCTCCTTTTTCCAAGTACTGTTATTTTCAATGTAAAGGTCTTACTTCCTTTATTAGATTGATACCTAGGTATTTCTTTATTCTGCATGCTTTGGCAAAAAATGTTATTGCATTAATTTGTTTCTCAGTGAGTTCATTATTTGTATGCAGGGAGGCTGTTGATTTTTGGGTGTTGACTTTGTTTTTGTTAATCTATTGCTTTGTTTTATCTCTGGTTTTTTTAAGACAGGATCTCACTATGCAGTTCAGGCTGGCCTTGAGCTCACTTTATAGCTCAGGCTGGTCTCAAACTCACAATGATCCTCCTGCCTCAGCCTCTCAAGTGCTGGGATTATAGGTGTGCACCACACCCAGCTTTGAGTGTTGACTTTGTATCCAGCTATGGTACTGAATTTGGTTATTAAATCTAGAAGCATTTGGTAGTTTTGGAGGTCTTAAAGAGTACCTTGTCATCTGCAAACAATGATAATGTAACTTCTTCCTTTCCTACCCTTATCCCTTTGATTTCTTTCTCGTGTATAATTGCTCTGGCTGTTTTCATAACTATATTGAAAAAGTGTGGTGACAGTAGACATCTTTGTCTTATTACTGATTTTAGTGAAACTTTCAGTTTTTGTCCATTTAGTATAATGTTGGCTGTTGGTTTGTCATAGACAGCCTTTATGAGACTAAGACAAAGACCATCTATTCCAATTTTCTATAGTGTTTTTATCATGAATGAGTGACTTGTCAAATGTTTTTTCTGCATCTATTGAGATGATCATATGGTTTTTGTCTTTTGCTGTTAATATGGTGTATTACACTTATTTATTGCCTACATAATAAAATATATAATAAACCTAGAATATTGCAAACAGTAAATAAGTCCTCCATATACCAATTTTACCCTCAGAGGTGAAAATTTAAGAGGTTAGGGGGGAAATAGAGAAATAAAAGAGAAAGAAATAATAAACAAGGCTGGAGGACAAAGGAAAAAAGCATTCACTTGGAGGCATGTCCCTGCTGTCACTGGTAGACAATGTGGGTGGACGGAGTCCAGATCTGTGCTGATTAATCTCAGCAAACAGCTACAGCCTTATGGTGGGGTAGTGGACAATCCCAGGAACCTTCAGTTCCCCAAAGTTCAGGCCAGTTTGTGGCTGTGAGGCTGGAACCCGGTGTGTTCAGCCTGCAGCGCTCCGTATGCCTATTGCCAGCACTCAGCTCCCGGGTCTGCCACTGACTTGAGCTCAGCTCGACAGCCTCACCCTAACACTGGGACCCTGATACATCCCATATTTCACTTTGAATATACATGGAAGTGTAAGGAAATGTACCAAGATGGGGTTTTCTCTTTGTTACTATTGTCACTGTTGCTTTGATTTTTGAGATAGGCTCTCACCGTGTAGTCCACCAGGCAGCCTTGAAGTTACAATGTAGCCTCAGCTGGCCTTAAATACATGTCCCTCCTGCCTCAGCCTCCCAAGTACTAGGATTAAATATGTCTCTTTATATATTTCCTACGCATTTATACACTGTTTACTCTTTAATGTCATACATTCTTTTTTTTTTTTTTGTCTTTTTCCTTTTTATCAGTACCAGGGATCAAACTCACGACTGCCTGCTTGCAAGGCAGGCATTTATGCTGCTGAGCTAAATCCCCAGCCCCTATATGTTCTTTTTTAAACATCACAGTTTCAAAAGTATAAGTGAACTTTTCAACTCAAATTCTAGAAAATCCTCAAAAGCTGTTTTCTAGTTTAAGAAATAGGTAAGAGCTATAAGCACAGCTCGGTGGTGGGACAGTTGTCTAGTATGTAGGAGGCCTAGGTGCACTGCTCAGAACCACCATGCCCTAAAATAAACACATAATTATAATGACATCCACAGCATCACAGTTCACAAGCAAAGCCTAATCTGACTGATCTGAGAGGGAAGAAAGGGTAAAGAAAGAGGAAAGCATTGTAGTAACTATGATTAGCAATCAACATTCAAGGAGGGCCAAGATAACAGTTATTACTAAGTAAAGATTAAAACCTCAGCTATTGCAAGGCTCAAGTCAGGTTTATTAACAGGAGGAACCAAAAGCTTTTGTCAAATAAACAAAAAAACAACCCAGGGTGAATAGCTGGACACCTGTGTGTGAAGGTCAGGGACTGTCCCTGGCCTGCTGCCTCAACCCTGCAGAGCAGCCCCAAAGCCAAGTGGGCCCCACCAGGCACGGGCTGGACCTATAAATAGAGGCCCATCCTTCCCAGTGACCATCTGGCTGTGTCCTTTTTACTCTCACCGGCTCGGTGCAGCACTTCCCAAACGCTGATCCCCATCTCTTCCCTGCTGAGGTAAAGGTTAAATTATGTAGCTTTTCATTTCAATCTTTGGCACCCAATATCATTTGTAAGTAACCAAAGATAAAATAAGTGTGTAAACAATCCATTATTATTAATGTGATAACTCGCTTTTTGATTGTAGACAAAAGATTTTGTATTTTAAATACATGTAGCCATCTTAAACTAGAACAATGATTGCACACACACATACAGTGGAAAGTACTGGTGTTTTGCCGCAGTTTATAGCTGTTCTACCCTACCCTGAAATGCAAATTTGAAGCTGGAATGCCCTGTACTTCAACAAGTACCTAGGTCCCTTATATTGGGATATGTGGCCTTCACAGAGGTGATTCACTTAGAAGGAAGTTCTTAGGGGCTGGGGATTTAGCTCAGCGGCATACACGCCTGCCTTGCAAGCAGGCAGTCGTGAGTTGGATCCCTGGTACCAATAAAAAGGAAAAAGACAAAAAAAAAAAAGAAGGAAGCTCTTAGAGTGGGCCACTCTTCTCTGAGTCGAGTCTTGTAAGAAGTGTAAGATGCCCAAACATCAGGGCCTTCCAGCACAGTACACTTCCAACATGGGAGAAAGCATCTCTTACACAGAGGCATTGAGAACTATCAGAGAATTACGGGGACATTCCTGTTTAAAAAGACAAAAAACTAACAGGCAGGTGGAGGAGAGAGAAAGGGGAACAACACAACAGAGGTCAGCACCTTTGTTGGCATAGCACAGATCTGAGGACAGATGTACGCTGAGCCTCGCGGAACAAACACTGATGAAGCATCCCAAGGGGCGCAGGGAGGAACAAAGGTGACAGGCAGGAGTATTCCAAGCCTACGGTACCTGGGACACCTACTATCCAAAACAAAACATACAGCAAAGTGCTTTCCCTCTCCTCGCTTAGTCTGCAGAATAACAGGGCATGTTCCTATAAACCACGGTCCAGATGCCAAGGGATCGGCCTCAAGTCACAAAGCTAGAAATTTGGAGGAACCTGTTTGTGCTTTTACTCCTCAAAAGTGTTTGGGAAATGAGTCCTTGCTACGTATGTCCACTGTCTTTATTATTTGGTTAGATTAAATAATTTTTATTTTATATATCATTTCCTTCCTTCCACTCCATTGATTCTTTTTTCTAAAGGTATATTAATACATGTTTGCAGTACACACTGATTGCAATTGTCAAGAAGTTAGCACATACACATAACATGTCTTACAAATAGCCTTCCCACTCTGCCTCTAGTCATTGCCCTTATAATTAATTTTCATGGTTGAAAGAAGCATCTTTCAATGTGTAATCCATTGATGTTGCTCCTGTTGGATTAAACACACATTTTACACACACCACACACACATACACACACACACACACACACCCTGACACCTGCATGGATTGCCCTCTCCATTTTCCCTCAATGGAAATTTGTATTTCTCATAGCCTGTATTCCTAAGAAATTTTCCAGTGATACAAAGTTATCACAATAGGGGCTGAGGATTTAGCTCAGTGGCATAAGTGACTGCCTTGTAAGCCTTTGATCGTGAGTTCAATCCCCAGTACCAACTAAAAAAAAAAATATTATCACATTGACATATATATTGCCTAACAAAATATTAAATCACTGGTTTAGAGACTCACTCAACTATTCTAGGCCAAGTATTTAACTCGGTGCTCACGCAGTTTGTCTTGTCTGGAAACTATATATACATCTAGAGACCCCAGGATACAGAAGGTACACAATAGGTGCACAATAAATGATTATCACATATACTGTCACGCTTTGGGGACAGAGAAGAGCACACAGCTTGGGAGACTCTTGACAAGTAACGGCTACCACGGTCAGCTATTTGGAAAGTTTGCTACATATACAGTTTAACTTCTAGTTTGAATTTATGGTCCTTAAAAAGCCATCCATTGACAGTGAAATTTCTATAAGTAAATACATAGTGGGCAAAGGTAAATAAATTTAAAGTATGCATGCCATGTAAATTATAACCAAAGAACTGAAAACTATCCAGTTCTGATTTTAATAGCCCAAAGAATATTCTTGCAACTGTAATCTAAGGAAAGACAAACACAGAAACTCCAGGCAGTCATGATCAACAAGTGAGGCTGCATCAAAGAAATTCCCAATTCAGTTCATTGTACACAAAGATTCCTTCTGGCCTCCTCACTTAGCAACAGAGGCTCTCCTTACACTGCCTCCTGCCTAGCTTCCAAGTTCCAGGGTGTGTCTTCCACTGTTAACTGGAAGTTCTTCAGGGGAATAAAAGTCCTGATTGAACATGAATTCATCTCTCCAAGTCTAACTCCTGGTGCACAGAAATTAAAATTAGAGCCTGGTAAAACTGAAGGTCAAACTCAGGTTGGAGATAATCCCACCAGCTAGAGTAATTCAAGGGCTGAAACAACCAGCTGATCTCTCCCCTTAGCACCTCATTAGCTGTCCCAGAAACACTATAGGGGGACAGATGAGTACCTGGGTGGGTATGACACAGCTTCATCAGGTCCCACTAGAGGAGGGCCACGCTGCCAGGAGGACGGTAGACCATTTCAGAGTCCTGAGGACCTAGGGCACTGGCCAAGAGGACTGTATTACGGCCAGGAATTCCAAAGGTCTGACAATAGGAAGCAGCCAAGAAACTGGAGTGTGACTGCACTCCGAACAGGTCAGCAGTCAGCAAAGCCAACCCAGAGAAACATCTCCCAGCCAGAAACAGCAGAACTTCAAAGTATGACAGCTGAGGATGAAAACCCAAGTATGAGAGCAAAGCCTCAGCGAAGAAACAGCCACAGAAAGAAGGGAATCAGCAGATGGAAGCCAGCAGCCAGTTAGAGATGTCTGGAAGCCACCCCAATATTAAGGAAGAATGGATGAAGTCCTACAGACAGACAGAAAATAAGGGCAGAAAAATGAGAACCTATATCATAAGGTAGAAACTGGAGAAAGATGGTAGTCTCCGAGTAATCATGCACTTTTTAATAGCTGCAAACATATAGCCAGCACCTAAGACATCCAGGAATTTAGGTATTATTGTTACTCCTATCATAAAGAGGGGCACAATGAGGCACAACAGATAGGTGACCTTTGCAAGGATACACACCGAGAACCAGAGCTGGGATCCAGGTACCTAAGCTAAACAAAAGGATGCAGCGAGCTGGGGCTCTCAGTCCACTCATCTCACCTTAATGCCAGCAAAGCACTGATTTGGAGACTAACCTCTCACTGGAAAGCCGCTTGCCCTCCCTATCTGACCAGGTCGTTTGAAACTGAAAACAGCCCTGTAAGGGTTAGCCGGCTAACAGAGCGAGAGAAGCTGTTCCCTACAAACTCTCCCATCTTTCACCGTTCTCCACTCAATCTGGAAACAAAACGTAGCAGATCTGAGGTCAAAGAATACACCTTTGCAATGGCATTTCAAATGTCATCGGTTAGATAAAATTTCCATGACTCCACTAAACCCTTCTAACACCTAGCAATTGGCTTCTTATCTTGGGCGTAAAGCAGAACCCGATGCCTTTCCGGACGAGGATGTCCAGTGCCCCAAGGACCTCTGGAACCTGAGCTGTGTAAACCAAGGGCAGTGAATGGACCGCGCAGGGCTCAGGGGCTGTGAGCCGGTGCTCCAGAGCCAAAGGCTGCTTCAGTAATCAGTAAGAGGATGCCCAAGCCAGGCCCCGGGCGGGGTGGCCCCACAAGTTAATCCGGGGGTCTCATCCGAGGAGACGCCATGGGGAAGACTGGGGGTAACAGGGACACCGACCTCCCGCCCGGCCGCTGCCTGGGACCGGCTCTGCCCGGCTCGCCGTCGCAGCGCGCTTCCCGGCCATCAGGTCCCCCGGCCCTCACCTCCAGAGTCTTCACCAGGATCTTCATGTAGACCTCGGAGATGCCCAGTGACACCCCGAAGGCCGAGGGCAGCAGGATGAGGCCGAGCACCAGCGTCAGCCAGGTGGAGAGCACCTTGGCGGCCAGCTCCGTGCCCTCCATGCCCGCCCCGCGGAACACACGCGCGGCCGCTGTCACTGTCCCCTGGTGGCCGGGCCCGCCTCGCACGACCCTGCGGTGGGACAGGAAGGACGACTGAGAACTGCGCGGCCGAGCCCGCCTTCCTTCCTCCTCGCAGCCTTCCTCCGGGCTCACCAGGCTGCGGTCTACTCGCCGCCAGGGGCCAGGGCGGAGGCCGGGGCAGGGCAGCCCCAGGGAGCTTGAAGAAGGCGACTCCAGCGCTCTGAGCCCGAGCCCTCGGCGCCTGCCCAGCCCCGCAAGCCCAAGGTCCTCCCAGGCCCCGCCCCGGCCCCGTTCTGGCCCCGCCCAGGCCCCGCCCCAGACCCTACTCCAGCGCCGGAGGCTCCGCCCACCCCGCCGAGAGGCTCCGCCCAGCCCGCGCGGGAGAGCGGAGGGCGTGTCACAGGAGTGCAGAACGCGCGCTGCAGAGGAGGAGACCGAGCCGGTGGCCGTCAGCTCCGCTGGGCGGCGCTCGACCCTGCTGGACCTGCGTCTCACGCGTGGACCGGGACCTCAGGCGGCGGCGCCCCAGGTTTGGAGCCCGCGCGTCCCTCGCCTCGCCAGGTTGCCGGCAGCCCCGCCCCTGCTGCGGGGACGCCGGTCCCACGCGGCCCGGAGGAGGGGTCGTGCGTGGACCCAGGACCCTGACCGCACAGACGCCGGGTGGTGAGCCGTGAGCCGCACCCTCGGGTGTGTGCTCCAACTTCAGCGACTGCGGAGCGCCGTGTGACTAGCGCATTCCGGGCCGAGGACACGCGCGGCCAGGCAGGGTCTCGCTCTGCAGCTCACCTTGGCCAGGATGAGGACGGAGGGCCGGCTCGGCCTCCGCTGTGTCTCTTTGGCCCAGGGGCTCAAGCCTGTGGGACTCTGTACTCACGAGGTTGTGTGCTTAACAGATCGCCCACATCTAGTGACTTCACAGAGGCCAGAAATCTGACATCAGGGGTCTGAGGGGCCACGTTCCCTTACAGTAGCTCGAGAGGAGGCCCTTTCCCAGGGTTCCTCCTTTGTTTGAATAATTCCAATATGTGCCTGTCTGTCTCTTAAGTGCTGGGAATAGAATGCAAGACCTAGTGAGTTCTGCGTAAGAACTGTGCCACTGAGCTACATCCCCAGCCCTTTTATATTTTGAGGCAAGTCTCCCTAAGTCAGGAAGTTGCCTGCGCTGGACTTGAGCTGTGCCTTCTGAGTGTTGGGATCACAGGCATGCGCCCACACCCAGCTCTTTTCTTTTACAGCATCATTTAATCTTGGATTCTGGACCCACCCTAATCTAGCACTGTGCTATCTCAAGATCCCCCAGTTAATTACATTTTTTCTGCAAAGACTTTTCCAGATAAGGTCACATGTGTGGGCTGCAAGAATCAGGGCTCAGCCAGATCTACAGCTCACCTTACTGCACTTCCTTCTCTGTTGTAACTGGGACTGGAGCTATGTACTATCATTTAAAATTTAAAGCCAGGCATGGTGGCACACACCTGTAATCTCAGCGCTCAGGAGGCTGAGGCAGAATCATTGCAAGTTTGAGACTAGTCTGGGCTACAGAGAGACCTCAAGGCCAGGATGAACTGCAAATTGAGACCCTGTTTCAAAAAGACTAAATAAATAAAATTTAACTGACAGGAAATGTTCTACACTTGAATGTAGTCAAAAGACTGAGAAGCAATAGTAAATCCTGAATAAAACAAAATCCACCTTTTCACGGATTGAGCTGGCATGCATTTTTTTTAAATTTTATTTTAAAGAACAAAACCAAACAAACTGAAGCAGTAAAGCTAGTCAAAACAGAGCCAGGCTTCATGGCTTATGCCTGTGATCCCAGCACTTGGGAGCCTGAGGCAGAAAGATCATTGCAAATTCGAGACCAGCCTGGGCTACAAAATGAGCTCAAGGCGAGCCCAAACTGCGTAATAAAAACCCTGTATCAAAAAAACCACAACAAGGAGGCAGAGGATTTAGCTCAGTGACATAAGTTCGATCCCTGGTGCAAAAAAAAAATCCCACCAAAAAAAAAGCCAATCAAAACAAAACAATAAGAGCAATGCAGACTTCAAAACAAGAATAGTAAATCCACAATGGCTGTGTAATACATCTTGTTATCTTCAAAATAGCTGTGTAATATATATCTTCAAAATAGCTGCCCATACCATCAGACATAATGGAATCTAACAAAACAGAATAAAGTCAAACCAAACAATGAAAATGAGCAAGACTTGAAAACAAGGTAACAGGAAATTAACAATGGCTACTACCTTCCCTTTTTAGACTTTCTCTCTCTTTTTTCCTTTACAACACCTCTTATACATCTTGGTGTGAATCCACTTTTTTTTTTTTTCTGATACTGGGAATTGAACTCATGACCCCGTGCTTGCCAGGCAGGTGCTTATGCTGCTGAGCTAAATCCCCAGCCCTCCTCTTATACATTTTGGAACTCATTAACTCCTTCAGTTTTTCATACTAGGGAGACAACACAGTGTTCACCCATGTGAGTCCAAACCATTTCACCCCAAGAGCATGATCTCAAGTTGCATCCATTTACCTACGAGTGTCTCAAGGTTATCCATTTTTACTGCTGAGTAGCTTTCCATTGCACAGAAATACTATATCTTTCTGGTCCATTCTGTGGTTATGGTTGATGGGTAAGCTACCCCTACATTTTTCTGGAACATTGTCTTCTCTCCTCCAACCTTCAGTCCATGAATTTTCTTTCGAACCAAATGTGTTCCTTGTATTTAGGATATTGATGGATCTCGTCTCCTGATCCACTCTGTCCATGTTTTTTTCTGGCATGTATTTTTAATAGCACTCCCCTTTTCTCTCAAAATAGCCTAGTTTGGGTGAAAAAATCACACACACACACACACTCTCTTATGCTGCACAGTTTCTGGTGCCCCTTGCACCCCGAAATGTCCCCTTCTGTGATGGCTCACTGTGAAGCCAGTCCATCCTTCAGTGTCCTCCCCTCGCCCAGCTAAATGTGGGTGTTGAGGCTCTTTGTCACCACCTGAAGCCCAAGAAAGTACAGAAGGAATGAAAGGGCCTGGAGTAGGGGCCAGAGCTCTGTTGATGCGAATGCAAATTCCTAAGATGGTCAAGAGAGTGGATTCTGAGAGGCAGGGTTGGGGCTTACAAGGCTGAGTCCCACCAAGCACCCAGGTGATTCTGACTTCAGTCTGTAGCTCTCATTTCGAGTATTAAGCCTCAGAGTTTGAACAAAAAGGGAAGCTGAATAGGGAGTTATGGAGGACCACAGAAATGGCTCCCCGGAAGGAGACAGCTTGCCTCTGTTTTGGTTTGCTTTTAGCCTCTGTCTGAATGCTCTGTGCACAAAGCTGGCTAGGGAGACACTCGACCCCCTCAATTGGCTTTAATCAGTGCAGACCATCTAGCCAGCATGCCAGTGTGTAGCCTTTGAAACAAGCCACAAGGGCTGGGCATGTAGCTCAGAAGCCACAAGGGCTGGGAATGTAGCTCAGTGGCACAGCGCCTGCCTGAAACAAACCCACAGGTCTGAGTGCAGTCCTGCCTGCTAGGATTATTTCCAAAAGATGAGAAGTATAAAATAAAAAGCAGCCTTTATTCTGGGCCTTTATTCTAAGAACACAGAGAGAGATGACCGGCACCCCCACCACTGGCGTCCAGCAATTTGTCTGGCAGACACGTGGCGTGGGGGCATGTAAATAGCATCAGGTTGGGGTGGAACCTAAGGCAGGCATTAAGGATGCACAGGTAGCCCGTTGGTCCTAGGATTGGCGCCATATGTAAATTTCCAGGGACAAGAAGATGGCACAGGTAACTTCCTAGGGGCGGGGGATAGGGGCTTCCTGCTTCTGGTTGAGGCTTTCCTGGCTACAGTGTCCTGTCTGGGCCAAAACCCTTTCATATCCCGTCTTATGATTATTATTATGAAAAGGGGCGAAGATTTCTTTCTTTAATTACTTCCTGCTGGCAGAGGGCGCTGTACTGGAGCCTAGGGGAGTTGACGGGATGAAGGTTGATGCCCAGGTAGACGCTGGTGCCAGGTGTTTTGGCCAGAGTAACTTCACTGGTGAATGCACGTATGTTAGACTGGAAAAACAAAGAGACATGAGGATATGAGGAGACATGGCACTGTCACATTTAAGGACCCAGGTGAAGTAGAAGTAAAGTTGCCTTTGATTTAGACATGTCATTATATCAGGACCATGTTGAGGTAGAAACATTTCCACAGTAAGGCAGAATTCTGAAAAATTAAGTGTAAGGTTAGGAGAAATGATGTTATGAGAGGAGATTACTCCCCCAAGTGAAAGCATAAAAGTCAAGATGGTAGGTTGGTAAGGCTTATCTCTGGTACGCATGATGTTGGAGTCTATAGGCAATACTGTTAAAGGATACTGCTATAAAAATGATCATTAATAGAATGTAAGAAATTAGGAACCAAAGTGGATAACAAAACATGACTTAGCCTGTTAACTGTGGCTGCGAGGCCTCTACCTGACAGAGACAGGTAGGTGACAAAAGATGAGATGACCACTCAGAATGATCAGATTTAGGGCTGGAAGGGCATCTCTTAGCCTGTGTGATGTGAAACCAGGATGGCAGTCCAGCAACTTTGATTTAGGCATGGGTCACTGTAACCTGGTTGTATCAGCAGTTTACCTGGTTGTGGGAAAGGCTTTTATGTATCCTGAAAAAGTATAAACACAGTTTATACTTATACTTATACAGACAAAATATATCTGTCAGTCTTGACCAGGGTTGTCTGACAAATTGGTGAATAAGACAGGAAGGGGGTGGTTTATATCCCTGAGGAGAGGTCCACCAGCAACAACAGGTGGAAGCTGTTGAGGCCTGAGTGTGTCTAAGTGAGCCTGCATAAACACAAGGCAGTGAAAGCATTTTAAGATTTAGGACTGGGACCTGCACAAAATGTTTGTAAATGGCATAGGTTGACCATCAATATCCTGTCATAGAGATTGAGGGCTTTTTATACCAGCCTGAAAACTCAGGAAGAACTCTGTATATATGGCCTCTATGTCCACAAATATAGAGAATTGTCTTACCTGAGACTTTAGTGCGACTTGGACTCTGAGACGGGACACCTTAAAGGGGGCTGTTGTTGCCCTGAACCCCCTCAGTCTTCAGCAGCAATTTTCTGTCTGTGACGAATCTGGCAGTGTCGACATTTCCTGTGAGGGCTAGAAGTTAGGATGACTTACCCACTCTTTGGTGGCTAGGACAGTCCAGCAGCCCTGGAGTAAGGTCTCAAAGAACTCCTGGATGAGGCATTTTGTTGCCCAATGTCTT